CAGTGTGCGCACCATCGATGCGAAACGGTGTTTCGCGAAGAACGACGCGAGCGAGCGAGCGCGAAAGAGACTCGCGCCGAGCTGCTCGCACGGGACGAAAAAAACCTTCTTCGTTTGGCGCGCGACTGGCGCGCTGGCAAAAGAACGCATGAAATCCTAGGCAGGTCGCGCCCCCAACCATCGAGCGGAGCGCAATAGTACCAAAACACCTATGACGGGCTCCGTCGCCGCGCCGGCGTGGCTCGCTGCGGGCTGCGAGATCGAGGTGCTAGCTGACGAGGATGGCCTGCGCGGCTCGCGCTACGCCGCCCGCGTCCTCTTGCCCCCCAAGCAAGGAAAGGTGCGGCTCCAATACGCCACCATTCTGTGCGCGGACGGGCAGTCGGCGCTGCGCGAGGCGGTGGACGCCACTTGGCTGCGTCCGCCGCCGCCGCCGACGCCGCCCGACTTCTTCGCCAGCCTTCAGACCGGCGACCCGCTCGAGCTGTGGCACGGCGACGGTTGGTGGGAGGTCAACCTCACCGACGCGGGAAGGGAAGCCAGCGACGGTGCCGGCAAGCTGTACGCGGTGCGGTCCCCGCACTACGCGTCCGAGTACCGTGTCAGCGCGCAGCGGCTGCGGCCGCGATGGACCTTTTGCGGCAGCCACTGGAAGGCGGAGGTTTTGCAGCTCGCGCCGCGATGGCCGCTGCCATTGCCATTGCATGCTAACGCGTTGCACGACTCCCTTCCCAGGCGCCCGCTGGTCTCGTCGTGTACGAAGGCGCCGCCCCCGACGCGTTTGCGGGGCCGCGCGAGACACCGACCGCGGCCCAGGCGGACGCGCTGCGCGAGACGGTCAGCGTCCTCGACGAGTCGGGGGAGAGCATCCGCAAGGCGTTTGGCGGCGCGCCGCCCGGATCGGTCGCTGCGCTCCTCGCCGCGATCGCGGCGGCGCGCAACGTGGCGCAGGCGGCGAGCGCTGCGCACGAGGCGGCGGCTGCGAAGGCCAAGCTCGGCGAGGACGGCTATGGCAGCGACGCGAGTGACGGCGTCATGCATGTCACTTCTGTCGAGGACGAGGAGGCGGCCGAGGAGGGGGAGGCGGCCGAGGAGGGGGAGGAGGAGGGCGCTGAGCACGCGGCGGCGCCCGCCGCGGGGAAGGGGGTTCGGCGGCGGCGGTGCGGCGCGTGCGCCGCCTGCCTGGCGGAGAATTGCGGCGAGTGCTCCGCTTGTCGGAGCATGGTCTGCTTTGGCGGCTCCGGCGCAAGCCGGCAGGCGTGCGTGCGCCGGCGCTGCGTCGCGATGAGCGCCAGCGGGCACGCAGCAGCCACCGCGCCCTCGGCCGGCCGAGCCGGCCCCAAGCGCCTGATGCCCCCCCTCCCCCCCGCAGGCCGAGCATCCTGCCCGTGGACCTCGGCGACCCCGTCGAGCTCGAGCGGCGGCGCGAGGAGAGCCGGAGCGCTGCGTTCGAGGCGCTGCGCCGCTTCATCTGCGCCTCGGGCGGAGTCTCGTCGATGTTGGATGGGTGGACGACCAGTGCCGAGGTGCGGCGGGCGGGCGACTCGGCGGGCCACGTCGACGTCTACTTCCACGCCCCCGATGGCCGCCGCTTCCGCTCGCGCCTCGAGGTGGCGCGCTTCTTCGAGCTGGCGCCGCACGCCGAGCAGCCCGCCTGGGACAGTCGGCCGGTGGGCAGCCGGTCGGGACGCCGCAACGGCGACGCGCGCCCCAAGCGTCAGCTCGACGCGGACGCCGTAGTTTAGATCAGACCTTAGCGCCGGCACCAACGCCGGGAGCGTGGGAGAAGCCGCGTGCCCCCAAAGCATGGATCAGCGTGCCGGCCGGTCGACCCGGCTCTCGGGCCGCCCCTCAAGCTAAAGAGTCTGTGGTACGTGCGGTGGAAGGGCGCGCATGGACCCGAGGCGCGAGGGCGTGATGGGACAGGCATAGCGCTATGGCATAGGCAGCCCTCTCGTGCGTGAGAAGCGTTTGAGACGGATGACATGGAGACGCGGCGTGGTGTGAGCGTATATGTTTTATGAAGAACTTTGTTGATGCGCGTACACATATTTAGCTTGCATCAATACACGATAGCATACACACACGAGACATATGGAAATATCGGCGCGCGCTCCAACACGGGCGGGGAGACCTGTTCCTTTTTCCCACACAACAACAACATGTACAGGATGTAGCATGTGCATATGTGCATGTGCATGTGCATGTGATCACACAGTAGAGAGGTGTCCGAACAGTAAGGGGAGGGCTCCCAGGGCTTCGAGGTTTTCCCTGTGTGTACGCTTTACGTACAATTACACACATATTCGTGCCGTCACACTGGGTATCGCACACTAGACTACGACTAGATCCCAAACAAATCCCAAGCGTCTCTCAAACACAAGATGCATGCTCGGGGCGCGGGACGAAGTTCTTCGACGCGCTCCGGATCATCCGCCTCATCCGCCTCGAGAAGAGATCGCGTAGAGGATACCCGTAGAGGTCGCGGATCCTCATCTCTTCCCTCCCCGATTCGCTGTCCGCATTTGCATGCAGTGCGCGCTGCGCGGCAAGAGTGGCTTGAGGGGCTGCTCTCCCCCGCGGCTCACAATCTCTCGCAAGCTACCCGACATGGGGAACCGCATGTGCGGGTTGGGGCACGAGGGCAATGAGGATAGCATGCGCCAGCCAGGCGCCGCCTCATCTTCAAAGCACTGATGCGTCATGAGACGTCGCCGCACCGTCACGACACGGCCCACCAAGAAGGTGGCGCCATGAATCTCTTCGCCGCCGGAAGTTTCGCCGCCGGGAAGTGCACTATATGACCAGACCACCCTCATGCCCGCCTCACACATCGCCTCCGCCTCCGCCCTTGTCGATGCCGGTCGCGCCCCCTCTAGTCGTCCCTGTCGGACATTGCAGCTGATTGCGGACGTGCGGGGGCTGTCACGGCCGTCTGACCAGAGACGGCACACCTGCCGAAACACGCGAGCCTCCCAAAGGAAGCTGCCATCAGGCGGGTTGTCGAGCATGTGCATGTACAGCAGGACGATTCGGTCCCGGTCGTGCCACCAGTAGCTGTGCGGCCACGCCAGAGGCGCGAGCTCCGCAGCTGTCGGCCTCCGAGGTCTCGCCCCCCACGGGCCGCCGTCTTCGAGGTCGAACAGCACATCCTCACGATGGGACGGGAGGTACTCCTCATCGTAGTCGGAAGCGTCCTCATCGCACCAGTCCCCATCCCACGGGTACCCCATGCCGTCCACACCAGCCTGCTCCGCGAACAACCTCCTCGAACCATGCTTCCTGCTGCGCCCGGCGGGTGGGGTCTGGCGACCAGAAAGGAAGACTGTCCTCGTACTTGCTCCAGCCTCCCGCCACCGCCGCCGCCAGCTCGTGTCGCGTTGGGCGGCGAGCCTGCGTGGTGTGTGTGTGTGGGGGGGGGGGGGGGGGCGGCGGCAAAGCCGCCCCCCGTGGGAAGGAGCGAGTACCGCCCCTTCCGCCTTGGTCGCCTCGGCCTCCCTCTCCGGGGCGGCCACCATGTTCATCTTGATGGCATACAGTGCGCGCTGCCGCTTCGAGGCACCGGCCGGCAGCTCGCCCGCCACCGAGGCCGCCAATGCCAACGCCGCCTCTCGGCACTCTCGGCATCGAAGCCGGCAGCGAAGCCCCCATCGAGGCCTCCGAAGCCGGCAGCGAAGACAAACGTCGATGTCGTCGCCGGCGGCGACCTGCTCGAGACAAACGTCGCACGTGCCTTGCCCCGGCGCCTCCCTGCTGGTGACAGTGTGGCCGCATTCGCAGCAGCACGGCTCCTTGCTCGGCGCGCCGCCGTCGCATCGCCGCAGCTGCGCCGCCGTGCAGACGTGGCTGCTGGCTCCCGTCGGAGAGACGGACGTGCACGTCGCCGTCCAGGGTGACCCGGGTCACATTGCCCCGTTCCCCGGCGCGCGGCCCGCCGAGCAGCTCGACGCCGTCGCCGCGCGCCTCGGGCTCGACCGCCGCCGCCGCCTCCTTCTCTTCGCGAAGGACTTGCGGTAATCGCCGCAGGGGCTCGGCAGGTGGCGCACGCGGCGCCTCGGCTGAGCCCGCCGCGCACGCTTCGGGCGTCTCCAGCCGCGCCTGATTCGGAGGGCAAGTGTGCGGCGGTGGCGAGGGTGAGCGCAGGGCGGCGCCGGGTTGGGTGGAGTGTGGGCGAGCGGCGACGCGCGGGGAAGCAGGCAGGAGCTCGGCACCGGCGTCGAGCGCTTCGCCGCCGGTTCGGCGTCGCCTGCCGAGAGCCTCCGCTTGACCGCAACCTTGTCCGCCTCGCGCCGCCGCTGGCCGGCCTTGTACGCCGCCATCTCCTCCTCATAGACGGCCAGCTTCGCCTGGTAGTCGACGACGCGCATCGTGTTCAAGGCCACGTCCTTCACCTCCTTCGGCTTCTTCGGCTTCGGCAGCGGCGCCTTCGACGGCGAGGCCTTGGGCATGGCGCGCCCGTGTCGACAGAATCTGCGCGTGTAGGGAGGGTGGTACCTTTCGTGAAACTGAAACGCGGAACGCGATCTGTCTCGCGTTCCTCAACGCTTGCGATTCAGCTGTCGCGCCGCTGGATGATCTTGCTCAGCTCGCCGAGCTCGACCTGAACGCTCTCAGCGGCGCGACCGCTGAATCGCAGCCGTTCGTGCTGCACGCATGCATCGTTGCAGTTTCAGACTACTTCCCCCCCTCCCTACCCAGAATTTGCGCAGCCCCCCTCACATATCTTGTCTGAGGGCTTAGAGGTGAACCTCGAAGAATTATTTCTCGGAGTCGCTCGAAGCTGCGAGCTCGGCTGCAGCCACGAGAGCGGCCTGCTTGGCACGCAGCTGCTTAATCGTCGGCCCGCGTGCGCGGCTCTTCACGGACTGTGTAGACTGTGCCGGCGAGTTGGCGTGTTCACACGCTGAATCATCATCGTCATGGCCTATAGGTCATGGCTTCTGTCTGCTGTGCTTCTCGCTCGCGTGCGTCCTTGCAAGTTGCGCCCGCCTCCTTCACCTACGAGCTCGTATGCCACGTCGCCGCCTGGGTTTGGATTTGTATGTTTGCGATTTGGAATTTGGCAGTTCTTTGTTTTTTTTCACGACAGAGGTAAAACCGACACGCGACACCCTCCGCGCGCTCGTCTTATTCCACTCGAAATCGGTGTAGAGCCGTGAGCCGTTACGTATGACTCGAGTGTGTATGACTGTATGGGTGGCTCGGACCGCGCTAATACCGGGAGCTCTCTCTCCCCGTCCTAATTTGGGGCGAGTAACTATAAACAATATCAAAGATCATGGATGCGAATGGATGATCATCATCTCACAGAAGTCAGAACCCCATCGGGCCCCCAACCACTCGCTCAACGCTTGAGCGCACCCACTGCCAGCGCAAACGCGCCGGCCGCCACCGCCACCAGGGCGCAGCGCGCTGCGGTCGTCTTGACGATGGGTGGCGTCTTGGCACTCTCGGACGCGATGCCGCGGCATGCCCACGCTGTGGCAGCGGCGTAGCCGAGGGCGGCGGCCGGACAGCCCGCGAGCGAGAGCGTGACCGCAGCGCCATAGGCCGTGAGGGCGCCAACGAGGACGGCGCCCGCCTCGGGCGTCGCCAGCGGCTGCAGCGGCGGCACCTGCTGCGCAACGAGCGTGAAGGCGATCCCGCTTGCTGCAGCCAGCCATCCCGCGTTCAGACCCGTTGGAAAATCAACGACGGCGGCGCCGACGAGGCCGTACGCCGGCGCACCGCCGACGAGGGCCAGCGCGCCGCCGAGCATCTTGACGTGCGCCGCTCCGACGAAGAGGGCGGCGGGCGCGAGCGAAGCGAGCTTGCGCCCGGCAGTTGCGCCGCCCTGCGGCACCGGCAGCACACCAAACACCGCCTGCCAGAGGCACTCGCCGAGCCACGTCGTGACCCAGGGTCCGGCCACGAGCGCCATGCGGGAGGCGTCGCCGCCACTCGCGAGCACCGCCGTGCCCGCGCCCTCGAGCAGGAAGATGGGCCCCCAGATGGCGAAGGTCGCACCGCTCGGAGTCACGTCGGTCGGATAGGCGGCTGAGACGTCGGCGTTTGTGCGCACGCCGAAGAGGCCGCGGCCGTAGACGACGTTGACGGCGACGAGGCCGGCGTACGAGGCGGCGAGCACGGTGGGCGAGACGTCGGTCATAGTGGGGAAACTAGCCTTGGCAGAGACAGCGCCTAGAAGAAACCGTCGCGTCAAGCGTCCTCCCATCCCTCCCTTGGTTGTCTGTTTTCTTTCTTTCTTTCTGCATATTGGCGTAGGAATTCTTTTATTCCGAGGGACGACCGACACACTGAAACGTACGTCGGCGTTTCGATCAACGGCCACGACAAAAAGCCTCTATGTCGCTCGACCCGGAGCGCAACCGCGCCGCCGGCCTGCAGGGCCAGGTGGAGAATCTGTCAAAGGAGAACAGCGCCGACTTTTGGGCCGAGCTCTCGGCGAAGCTCCCCTCAGGCAAGTCGGAGGAGGACAAGAAGCAGCGGAAGCAACTCTTCAACGCGTTCGACGCGAATGGCAACGGGTGCCTCTCCCTCGCAGAGGTGGACAAGGGGATTGGGACGGTCATTAAGAACGAGGCCCTCTTCTCCGCAAAGCGGCCCATCATGCGCGCCTTCCAGGCCGCTAAGGGCCTCTCGCAGTCCAAGAAGCCGCTCGACGACGACACCATCAACCGCAAAGAGTTCCAGGAGCTGCTCGGCTACCTGCGGCAGTACTTTGAGGTGCGCGCGCGCCGCACCCGCACACCCGATAGATGCCCTCTCCGCATGGCACGCTCCCCTGCCCCGCAGCTCTACGTCATGTTTGCTGTCGTGGACAAGTCAGACGACAACAGAAGCGTGAAGGTGTGGGGCATGACACATTTGCTTTCCAGCCGAACGAAAGAGAAACAAAGATGTGGCAGGGCCAACGCAGCGCGAACTCGCCGTCTGAGCCTAGCGCAGCGCGAACTCGCTCCCGTTCGCTGCGCAACCCTACCCTGCTCCATTTTTTTGTCAGACCCACGTCCTGAACCGTGGGATTAGTACCTCATAGTTCTCAGCTGCTCCGCTTATACCTACCTGTGAACGAGGTTCTTGTGTTTCTTATCACCCTACTGTGAACCTTCCTTAGGTCCGCCTCTCACACCCTCGCTGTCTGCGATGTGAGCTTCTTGTTAAATAAATAAATGATAAATAAATAAATAGGTTGTAGATCTGAGAAGCTGGGAAAAGTTGTGTGTGTGTTTCTGTGACGCGCTGACTTCTGACTGTCGTTGCTGTCTCTCCCTTCTCGATTGTCTGTCCTTGTGCGTCTTGGGGTCCGGAGTTGTCTTTTTCTGTGAACAGCGTCACGATTCGGGGCAGTCGGAGAAGGGGCAACTCCGTGCACTGACGGTCGGCCGCCAGAAAACACGCCTGCGTGGATCGCGTCACACCAATCCTCGCTACCCAACGCGGCCAAAGGATATCCACCTCGAGAACCTCGAGAAAAAGAAAGAAAGAAAACAGACAAACCCAAACGAGGGATAGGGGAGGAGGACAGGGTCCACACCTGCACGAGCAGGATTTTGGAAGGACGGCCAGGGGGACAGGTGGGCTCTCCTAGTCCTGACAAGGGACACGACAGGCTCGCAGCGCGGTGCACGGTTAGGGTGCCCACAGGACCCAAAAGAAAATAGCGTCCGCCTTGCGTTTGTTTCATAACATCGAAGGCTAAGCTCAGAAAGAAAATAGCTTTCCGGCTAAAAAAGGGACGCACGAGGCAAATCTGATGTTGGACTGGCGAGGTACTTCCATGTGGGAACAGCTGACGCAGTCTCGCCGAGGCTCGCCCCAGCAGGCGTGACCTGCCTCAGCAGTGCCAGGTCGGCCTGACTCGGCGCTCGATTCAGCCTCCGAGGCCCGGCATCTGGCCAGTGGGTGCACTGGACAGACTCGTGGAGGTGGTGGCAAAAAGTCCGACGCGACGCGTCCACCCGACTGCGCGGCTTGACGGCTGTCGTGCTGCGGGCACGACAGCCGTCAAGCTCTTGCCGCCGTACCGGTCGGCTGGAGACGCGCGCGCGCGACTCCCAGGGCAGTCTTTGGCATGGCCTCGCCTGCCTGCGCACCCGTGCGTGCATGTCGCGCGCAAACATGGTCCTGCGCGTTGGCGCTGCCCACCATTGCGCCATTGCGCGCATGTGGACACGACCGTCGGTGACCACAGCAGCGTGTGCGTCTTGTGATGTACATGTATTTTAGCTCTAAAACTCGCCCGGCGAACACCGACTGCGAGAGAGGGATCGCACGCGCGTGGCGCGCCAGCAGCAGCCCGGGGGGAGGGCGCGCTCTCTCTCTGCCTCTGCGCAGAGCTCTGGGCAAGTGCGTGTGAGGCGCGCAGAGCGCGCGTCCGTTGCACGGTCCGACTAGGGCACCAATCGGCGCCGAACGCGCGCGCCAGAGCGGACTGGGGTCGCTCGGTACATGCCCTGGCGCGCGCCAGGACGGCTGCCGAGGGCCTGCGGCAGGGGACGAGGGTGAGCTTCAAGCACCAGAAAGGACCTCACCGCCTGGGGGGATCTGCTCTGGGGTGACAGGGGATGGTTGGGTATGCGTGGCTACGTGTGCTATTGTGTGCTACTGGAGATCTGGGACCCTTCTCGGGCCCTCTCGAGCTCTGGCGCAGCGCCGCGCTGCAGGCTGTGCGAGTGGTGTGACGGCGCGCCTCTCGGTGGTTGGGCGTAGGTCGTGCCGTTGGAGGCCCGGAGCCGCGGCGGCGAGTCGCGCATATTCGTCGCCGGCGCGCGCGCCGGCTGTGAACAAACGTAGTCGAGAGGGGACGCACGCACGCGCCCCTTGAAACGAGGCTCGGCCGTCCCACAGACTTGACGAGGCGAGACACGCCTCTCGGGTTGACTCGGCCAGACAAAAACCCCGAGAGGCGTGGGAGTACCTCGCCAGATGTTGGATTGTTCCAATAGGAGCGAGCCTCTTCCGTTGGGGGACCGAGTGACTAGGAAACGAGGGTTCCCCATTGTGTCCCGCTCCAGCGCGAGCGTGACACTGCACTTGGCGCCGAGCGCCCGCGGCTCAGACCTTGTGCAGGCCACCCCTCGGTGAGCACGCCGGTCCGGACCGATGGCGCTCGGTGTGGAGCAAGCAAGACCCCCCCCCCCCCCCCTCGGCGCGCGCCCGAGGTTTGAACGGCCGCCAGGAGCACCAAGAGGACTCCTCATGGCTGCACTCAAGTGGGCTTCGACCGGCCTCGGCTGGGGGGGCGGGTTGTCCCGGCTGCGGACGCCTTCTGCAGCCCCCTGGGATGGGGACAGCACCCCAAAACTGCCCCTCGGCGGCATACAGCACTGCCAGCCAGCCTCTTCCTCCTCCTCAAGGGCTGTACTATAGGCCATATTGCGCCGCCTCCTACTGGCAGCCGGGCGGGCGCGCGCCGCGGGCGCCTCGGCGCGCGCACGGCTCGCAAAGTTCGAACGAGTACTGCCGCCCGGCCGCCTCAAGGCTGCCGGGCGGCAGTACTCGCCTCGCAAGGCGCGCACCGGCTGCTCTGGCTGCTGCGCCGGCGGCCGCTGCGCTGGCCGCTGCTGCGCCGGCTGGCGGGCGGTACGGCCGCCGGTGGCCGCTGCACCCGCGCCTTCCCTCGCGGGCGCCGTCGCGCCGCGCGCGCCCAACTCTGCTGGCACACGGCACGCGTCGTCACAGCCCTCAGCCGTGGAGAACAGGCGGTGCTGTGCGCGAAGCGCGCGCGCGATCTCGTACTTTTAAGGCTGGATCCGGCCATTCCAAGGGTATACCTTTGAGAATCCCCAGCGTCCCACCCTCCTAGTCACACTCTCAATATCTCGACTCTCCAACACGAAGTGCTGCGATCGGGGGCGACCCATTTGTTTTTTCCTTTCTTTTTTGGGGTCCTGTGGGCACCCTAGCACGGTGGAATCCCAACTCCACTGGCGGTCTCATCTCAGTCTAGCGACCTTCCTCCGGCTTCTCACCGGCAGTCTCTCACTACCACGGGCACACTGACACAGGGGTGGCAGGGGCGGCGGCATGAGTCTCCCACATACTATGAACCTCGAGAACCTCACGATTTCTTCGCGTGGTTTCTTTCACGACCCTTAACGATCTCAGATCTCCCTGTCTGCTATTGCCGCAGCCACTTCACAGCTACTCCTGTGGGAAGAGACCTTGGGAGGAGTACCAGGTAGCGTGCCGCGAGACCGAGGCCACAGCGGGTCGGCTGGGGCTATACCAGACAGCAGATCTCCAGGCCAGCTGCTTGCCCTCCCCTCGCCTCCCCCCCGGCGCGCGATGCGGCGCGAGTTGGCGATTGCGCGAGCGTACCCGGCCGATGCGCCCCACATCCCAAGCGCTTGCAGCGCGCTTGTGCTGCAGCCCGCCGTGCTGCGACCGCCACGCGAGCGGCTCGTCCGAAGCGCTCGAGAATCTGGCGCAGGCGGATCGCGGGCAGAGCCATGAGATCCCTGTTCAGGGACTTCCACATGCCTCACGACCCCTCACTCTACCCCACCATCCTGCAGGAGTTCTACCAATACGTACACGCCAAACGATGAAGCTCTTTGCGCTCGCCGCACTCTGCACCGTGCTGCCGGTGCCGGTGCTTGTGGACGCACTGCCAGTGGTCCAACTAGAAAATGTCCAACAATATTTCCCTCGCACCCCTTCCCGCAGGCAGCCGACTCCACCTCAGACGTCGACTCCGCCTCCCATGCGTCCACCGCGCTCTCCCGCGGAGCTGACGCACTTGCCCGCAACATCCAGCACGACAACTGGTGCATGTCGCAGTACGGCCAAATCGAAATGAGCGAGGAGGTGAAGTGCAAATGTAGTGGATTTGTTCGTTTCTTCACGGGCGAGTTCCCTGACTGGCTCGGCCACATTATTGCATCTACACTGCATCACGATGTCGAGCACTTCTGCACCGGGCAATTCCCTGACATCGGCCTCTCTATTTTGAGCAAGCTCCCGGGCAACCCGTTCGGGAAAGTCGATTACGGCCCACTCCACGCTCAGTTCTGCCGCGAGGACTTCGCAGCATGCAAGAGGGTCTGTGATGGCTATGGGAAGGGCGGCCAGAAGTTTTCAGTCTGGATGGACGAGTCGATCCCCCCGATATGCATGCAGTATCCAGGCTCTTCGGAAAAGCCGAACGCCATCTGGAATGGGTTCGATGGCACTCTCGAACCTCAAGCGGCGCGAGCGGAGATCTACAGATCGCACTGCGACGGTTTGAACAACTGGGAATGCTGTTCGGATGTGGTGCGCGGCTGGGGCTTTTATTTTGCCGTTAGCAGAGACTGCGACCAGGCGCTGTGGAACACGTTTCCGCCGCCCGCGCCGCCGCCGCCACCGGTGCAATGGTGTCAGAACCCCGATGGTTGCGGCTGGCATGTGTGTGCCTCATTCTTGGGCGAATATCCTACTTTGTACGAGCGGCCTTGCATCCCTGAGGACAGATACGCTGCGGACAGATACGACTATCGCCAATGTTGGAGCCGAGCTACGCTTTATGTCCCTTCTCGTGTTTGTGCTCGGTACGACTACAGTCCGGAATGCAATCACTGTGCTGGATACTACCGAATGCAAGCGGAAGAACCCCTCCGCGCGACAGGAGCAGCTTCTCGGAAACCTCCTACCGGCGGGCGTTGCCGCGGCGCTGGGCCTCGGCTTTGCAGCTGCTGGCTTCAGACTGCTGCGCCCACACCGTTCCGCGCCCACTGCGCAGCTTGTCTGAGCATGACTGCTGTGTCGGAGAAAGGCGCAGGATCAATGCAAACGAGAAATAAGGCGAAGGCGATGAAGATCCTGATGAGCTCCAAAACTAGACCGGTGAAAGTCGGGCGAAGCGCAGGTAAACGAGTGCGCGGCCCAGGCTACTGGAACATGTGAGACGATACGAGGAGAGGCACTGCAAGGTAAACGGAACGCAGCACAGTATGAGACGCACCCCGGCTGGCGGCACACTCATGATACATTCTCTCACTCCTTACGGCTTTAGTACGGTATCTGACTACGGTACAGTCTACAGAGAGAGACATGTTATTTGAAAGGATATGCAATAATATGTACTTGTTCATACATGTTAAAGCGAGAGTGACTCCTGCTGAAAAAAGTGCGCCTTCGGGCTCGCGCGCGGATATCAATCTCTCGGTTACGTACGGCTTTAACCTACCCTGTCCAATCTTCTGCAATCCTCTTTTACATACATAAATAAACTCGGAGTTGTCGGGGCTCGGCCTCGGGGACGCACGAACGGCTAGAGACTAGAGTTCGATAGAGTGTAGTCTGTAGAGAGCCGTACTCTAGCTGCCGCCTGGGGGCTGGGGCTGGGCGCTGCAGGGTGCAGCCTGCAGGCAGGTGGTGGTGGTGCTGGTGGATTGGTGATTGCGGGCTTAGGGGACCCCTAGGCTTAAAAGGGTGGGCCCTGGGGCGCCTGCGGCTTAAACGGCTTAAAACTGGCCCGGGCCGGTTTTAAGAGCTGCTGGGCCGCCGATTCCTTAAACGGTCTTAAACGC